TTCTGATTTAATAGGATACATATATAGATTTTACAATCATGTATCTGAGTTACATTTTTCTTCAAAGTTTACTCCTCTGTACCTTTTTTTTTTTCTTTGGGTTTTTCATTACATTTTGCATTACCTGTCATAGAACAGCATTTCAAAGGTTTTGCTTTCTGATTTAATTAGTGTCCACGGAAATATCTTACAATATGTTTGAGGGAAATTAACAAATATACATTTCAGATTTCGAATTACTGATATCCTCCTATATTTGCTCCTAGTTAGATTGAGCCAAGGAGAAAATATTAAAACTGTAAGCTTAAAAACTGTTATATGTTATATGTAATGTAAAAAATTTTTATACTAGGATTAAAATTAAATAACATTAAATTAGTTTTATAATATGTATCTTTTGATACCATCTGAAAAGGATATATGTGTGATTTGTAAATGCTGATCTAAAATTACTGTTAATCTCAAAGGAGAACTAGACTTTCTTCTCTTCTCTTTTGATAGTTCAAGGAGATTGAAAGAGATACTATTAGAGCTAGCCCCAAGATATTTACCACAAGGTAATTTTGGCAACACAACAAAGACAATAAAGCGGAAAGAATAAAAGCGAGACAAGAACACCAGATATATGTGGTTCGGTCAATTGACCTACATCCACAAACGAAAGAGGAGCAAATTACTACTATAAAAGAGGGACACTTACAAATGCCTTAGGAAGATGTTCCTAGGCCATAAAACACCTTCAGCTTACTAAACAAGAATTAACCCAAACCGTAAGCAGGTTTTCTTGTGGTGCCTCTTGTGCTGCCTGTGGTACCTCTTATGGTGCGTCTAACATCAAAGCTCAGGCCCTTATTTATAGTTCCAAGACGAGACAACAAGTCTGATTTTCCCGATGTGGGACTATGAGACTTGCCAAACTAACAAATCTCCACCTTGGCATGTCCCAACAAAACTTGCTCCACTTTCTTCACAAAAGCCCCAACGGGCAATCACCAACAATGAACACCAACCAAGTCTAAGCACTGCTTGAACTTGTAAACCGGAAGAGGCTTCGTAACATATCAATTGGATTTTCCTTCGTATGAATTTTCTGAACAAGGACTTTTCCCTCAGCAATGGTATCCCATTTGCATCCAAAAATTTTCTTACCCGAAGGCGGCTTCACAAGATCCCAAGTTCTATTCCGATGGAGAGACTCAATTTCTTCATTCATCGCAATCAATCACTTAGCGGAATTATCACAAGAAACTGCATCTGAGTAGGAAGTAGGCTCACCAACTTCACTTGTCTCTTCTGCAACAGACAAAGCATATGCAATCAAATATGCATATCTTTGTGGTGGTCGAATATCTCTCCGTGGTCTATCCTTGGCTATGGAATATTGCTCTTCCTCTGGATCATCTGCGTCAGTAGACTCGGGACCATCTACTGGCATTCTTTGAGTAGAAGAGTTCAACTTAAAAGAATCTGAACTACCAATCTCAAGCTCCACCTACTTCTGCGCACTATCATTTATACAACTAGTAGATTCCTCTTTAGAAGATAGCATAGATAATTCATCAAAAGTAACATCTCTACTGATTATAAATTTTGGGGATTTGGGATCAGGACACCATAATCTGTATCCTTTCACCCCTGAAGCATACCCAAGGAAAATGCACTTTTTAGCCCGAGGCTCTAATTTTTCTTCATTTACATGCATGTATGCTGGACACCCAAAAATTTTAAAATCAGAGTAATCAGCAGGAGTACCTGACCAAACTTCCTCTGGAGTTTTAAAATCAAGTGATGCAGAAGGAGCGCGGTTGACAACGTAACAGGCCATATTAATCGCCTCTACCCAAAAGTCTTTTGTCAACCCTGCATTTGAGATCATACACCTCGCTCTCTCTAAGAGTGTTCTGTTCATACGTTCGGCCACACCATTTTGCTGAGGCGTCATCCTAACAGTGCGATGCCGAACGATTCCTTCATTTTTGCAGAATTCTTCAAAATCACCTTCACAAAATTTCATGCCATTATCTGTTCGAAGCCGCTTAATCTGTTTACATGTTTGCTTCTCAATCAAAGCCTTCCATTGTTTAAAGGTTAGAAAAACATCATTTTTATGCTTCAGAAAATAAACCCAAACTTTCCTGGAATAATCATCAATGAAAGTCAACATATACCTGGCACCACCCTTAGACTGAACTTGAGCTGGACCCCAAAGGTCTGAATGAATATAGTCAAGAGTACCTTTCGTTTTGTGAACTGCCGGAGAAGTGAAGCTGACTCTTTTCTGCTTTCCAAAAATGCAGTGTTCACAAAAATCAAGTGGCCCAGTACTCTGTCTGCAAAGTAGACCTCTTTTGCTCAATATGCTCAAACATTTTTCGCTCATATGACCCAAACGCATATGCCATAATTTGGTGATGTCAGAATCATACAATGATGATGACGAAACTGCAACTGAACCTGTGACAGTAGTTCCCTACAGAATATATAAACTACCAGACCTACAAGCTTTCATAACAACAAGGGCATTTCTAGAAACTTTCATAACTCCACCTTCAGCTGTGTATTTACACCCAAGAGCTTCCAGGGTGCCTAAAGAGATGAGATTCTTTTTCAAATCAGGAACATGTCTAACATTAGTGAGCGTCCTCACAATACCATCATGCATTTTAATTCGGATTGTGCCTCTACCAACAACATCACATGCAGCATTATTGCCCATCAAAATAATTCCACCATTACAAGATTCATATGTGGAAAACAAATCCCTATTGGGACACATGTGATAAGAACAACCCGAATCTAAAATCCATTCATTTTTAGACTTTGTCCTGTCATCAATAGCAAAGAAAATATTTCCAAAATTCTCATCAGATGCTACACTAGCTTCAGCGGACTCAATAGTTTTCTCAACAAGTTTTCCTTTTTGCTTTAATTTATTTTTCAATTTAAAGCAATCAGATTTAATGTGCCCCATTTTATGACAATATCTGCATTCCAAATTTCTATGTCTGGATTTAGATCTAGATTTAGATCTACTACTGTCAAATTCTCTTTTATCCATTCTCCCCCTAACAACCAGACCCTTAGCCTGATTCTCTCTACTTTCCCCAGTGATATTCCTGTCTATCTGCTCCTTAGATTTCAGTGCAGATTTAATTTCTTGATACAAAACTGTTTCTTTTCCATAAATCAAAGTATCACGGAAATGCTTAAAAGATTGGGGAAGAGAACACAAGAGTAACAAAGCCTTATCCTCATCATCAATTTTTGCATCTATATTCTCCAAATCCATAACCAAAGAATCAAACTTATCAAGATGCGAGAGTATAGATGTACCTTCAATCATCCGAAGCATATATAGACTCTGCTTCAAGTAGAGACGATTCTCCACTGTCCTCTTCATGTACAAGGCTTTAAGTTTGTCCCACATGCTCTTAGCCGTAGTCTCCGTAGCTACCTCCCGTAAAACCTCGTCAGAGAGATTTAGAATGATGCTGGATCGGGCCTTCTTATCCATACCCGCAAGATCTTCCTTTGACATACCATCTGGAATGTTCTCAGTACCCTGAAGTGCCAAATCAACTCCGTCTTGAACCAGAATGGCCTCCATCTTGAGTTGCCACATGCCGAAGTTGACATTTCTATCGAATTTCTCGACAACAATCTTTGTTATTGTCATCGTTACCAAAAGATCCCAGAACTAGGCTCTGATACCAGTTTGTTAGAGCTAGCCCCAGGATATTTACCACAAGGTAATTTTGGCAACACAACAAAGACAATAAAGCGGAAAGAATAAAAGCGAGACAAGAATACCAAAACACCAGATATACGTGGTTCGGTCAATTGACCTACATCCACAAACGAAAGAGGAGCAAATTACTACTATAAAAGAGGGACACTTACAAATGCCTTAGGAAGATGTTCCTAGGCCATAAAACACCTTCAGCTTACTAAACAAGAATTAACCCAAACCGTAAGCAGGTTTTCTTGTGGTGCCTCTTGTGCTGCCTGTGGTACCTCTTGTGGTGCGTCTAACATCAAAGCTCAAGCCCTTATTTATAGTTTCAAGACGAGACAACAAGTCTGATTTTCCCGATGTGGGACTATGGGACTTGCCAAACTAACAGATACTATAATATCCCAACTGTGTTTTCTACGAGATGTGTTGTTTAGACCCTAGAAGTTCTATCTATTTATATGTAAGAGTTGAGGGTTATGATAAGTTATTAGAAGAATTCCTAAGCATCCCCTAAGAAATTCTATTATAATATGGACTTCTTTTCTATTAATCAATATATATTATCAGAATTCAATTAATTTTATTTGTCATTGATGGCAATCAAGTAATGGACAAAATTTTTTTTTGCAGTTGAATAACTATTCCTACAGGTAATTCTAATGAATGGATCAATCCATTTTAGTGGCATGAGTTCATTGCAAATATGTTATTTATTGGTTTTTCTTTCAATCGACGAGATGTGCATTGAATCTGAGCGCGATCGTTTCATGCGGAGGCATAAAATTGTGGACGGTTTAGATGACAAGGCCGTCTTCAGTTAACGGTCAGAGATGGGGGCAACGTAACCTTCGTCTCTCCCGGTCAACGCATGGGGTCAAGACTGGAATTTTATCCATAAATGGCCACTCAGTTGATGACCCTAAATTTACTAATTTACCCTTCTTTAAGATTCGTGGACACAATTGAGTCCCACATCAGCCGCTCGATCGGAATCTGACGGTGCTGACCGTACCTGTGAATCCGTCGTTAATTCCGTTTCGCGTACTTCACGAAACGGGAGCGACGAGACAGGGACGTTAACGCGCGTTACTGTCTTCTACTAGTCTGCCACGCGGCCTCTCGCGTACCATCGTCTGTGATGGAAGGCTGGGGTGGGACCTATTATCCTCGCCAGCAACAGAAGGGGTACATTTAAGTTGGTGTGCCCAAAACGTTCCACCGTGGGGCCCTTGTAATTTGGCCGTTATGTGACATAGTGAAGGTGGTGGTGGAATCGATCTCTGCGGGGTGCGAAGTCGAGGGCATAAAACGCTCGCGTCCTCTGCTTCGCCACCTCTTGTTCCCCTTTTGTTCCCAGATCTCCCTAATTTTCTCTTGCGAGTTCGATCGATCGATCTGCGGAGGCGGCATGGCCGAGCAGCTCACCGACGACCAGATCGCAGAGTTCAAGGAGGCCTTCAGCTTGTTCGACAAGGACGGCGATGGTCAGACCCTCTCGATCCCATTATGCTCTCCTTCTTTTCTTTTTTTTTTTTCCTTTTTCTTATTTGTTAGACCTGTGCAAAATGTTGTTCTTTCATGGTTTTTCTATTCGCCTTTTGGTGTATGATCATGTCAATTAGACGTGTTGGTACTTGAGGGTTAACAAGTCTAAAAATCTCTTCATGCTTTAAATTGCATGATAACTTTCGATGCTTTATTACAGACAGGCTGTTAAGTGTCATTCCGCTAGCTTTTCTTCTCCTTTTTTTATTGGAGATATTTTATGAATATTCACAATCTTTCTTCTTTGGATGTGAACGTTTTTTTACTAGATCTACAGCTTTCTTCTTTCTACAATACCAAAAGATCACTATTTGTTTCTACTAATTTGACCCTACTGCTGATTTGGTGAAATCTGATATGTTTTGAGTGAAAAATCTGTCTGGCGATTCTTGTATCTCTTAAGTAAAACTTATACCTATATGTATGGTTTCAGGACCATGTAGATAATTCTTTTGCAGCCAGAATAAAAATTACTTTTGAGATGAATTCATCTACATGAAGGAGTCTCATTTTTGGTGTACCATTTGCTATAATATTGATGTTAGCAATTTTTGTCTTTCTTCTCTCCAGTATTGCTAATGATCATGTGCCATGTAGTCAGCATCATGATTTCCATCTCCACACATCTGACCATCTGTTTGCTCTATAACTTTTAATTTTTCTTCAGCTAGATTATCTTTTCTTTTACTGATCCTCATTTCTGAAAGACGTGGAGTACAAAGTATTCATCATAACCATGAACATATAAAGAAAATGTGTATTATGCTGCCTGTTGGCTTTTTTTTTTTTTGCACTTTTAGCAAAGGATGGTTGCAAATGAATATTCCTTCTCATAAATAAAAAAGAAACATTTGTAATGTGTTCGTTTTTGGATTATTTGGTTGTTCCTAAATTTTTTTTTATAAGATGCATATTACCTGCATAATTTGAGAGGATTCATGTTTTGGTATCTTTTTAGTACACTGTCATTCCTAGCTAATGCACAAATGCAAACTGGAAGTGGTCACAGTATTGCTCCATAATAGTTGGATGCAATATTGATGAGATCACTATTTATTATCAGAGACCAGGTGGGGGAAGTTACCTACTTTTGAGTTTTATTAGCTGTTACTACAGTATCAACATAACATCAACCCAAATAACCTTTTTTATGTCTTGTTGTTTCCAATAAATGTTCCCTTCAAACTATTTGATGTGCTATTACTTTGCTATGATGAGTCACTGATAATTTCTTAACTATTTCTGTGGACCTGCCCCAATAATCTTTGCTAACCACCTAGGTCAAAAGAGAGTTAAGTGCATGAGTCAGACTACAAAGGTTGTTTGTTTGTTTGTTTGTTTCATTTACATATTAAATTAGTCAATAAGATTATTCAGAGTTTTAAATAAGAAATAAACCATAATTCTGGAGGCAAATTCATCCTTACCATGAAGTTTGCCTCCTAGCTCATAAAAGATTTAGCTCAGCCTTATTAAGTTGTTTATTTCAGCAAGAAGCTTTTACCTTTCCATTTTTATCTAAAACAACATGGTAGATATCACCAGCCATCTTGCCATCTGGCATATTCTTCAGAAATTATCTAATGGAGAAACCAAATGTTTTGCCATACTTGGTAAACTGTGGTTATTGGCTACTTTCTGAAGTAGTCGATGCCCTGATGGAACCAAGCTGGTCTCACTGACTGGTATCTGAACCTGGCATTTTATTTAAAATTGTAAAATGGAAGTTTCTTTTTTGCTTCTAAAATGTAATTCTGTAGCTAAGATGTAGGTAACATTATGAGTGTGTGGTTGATCATCGGAAGAGCCTCAGCATCGTGATGCAAGAACTATTCAAATGCCCAATCTGATGACTCAAGCATAGCCTTTGCTGGAATTCCCTGGTTTTTTCGGGTGTGAATCATTTTTAGGTCTTTTGATGATTATTGATTTTATTAACAAAGTCAAAGGAAGGCCTCAGCACAACATGATATTGGCAGATTGGTTGATACTATTGTCCATTAAGTGTCATACTGATCTCACATTGTACATGATCATGGAGATGTGTGTTTTCTTACTTGTGTTTGTACACATGCAAGTTTATGGAGAAGTGCAGTGCATTTATTAATTCATATCTAGAATGTCCTAGAGAAAAAGAACAGAGTTTCAGATGAAATTTTAGGTAGATTATCAATGAAATGGTTCGAATTGTTTAATGTGTGTATATGGAAGGTACTTAAAGAGGTTAGCAACTGATTATATCGTTTGCTATATTTAAGTTGTATGGAATGATTAAAAAGGTTAACAATTGATTATATTGTTTGCTATATTTAAGTTGTATGGAATACTTACATTAACAATTGATTTGCTCATGTGTTGTTACTCCTGAACACCAAGAACTCTTTTGGGAGCCGAGGAAGATAAAATCTTGGATGGTTTGATATGCAATGCTCCAATAGTCCCATATCAGGAGTTGACGATGGGTTGTACTAGTATATAAGACTGAATTGGTTTAGTTTAGTACTAATAATCTGGTCATATGTCTTTAGGGTTATGCAGTTCTAGACTCATTATTATTCCAAGTTATTATGTCAGTATGTCCATCTGGCCACATGATGTCTGATAAATGTGCTTTTTTCTTATATTCAGCATTGTGGAAATGTGGGGAGAATTAGAGGGAATAATCTCTGTGTGATACATGACAAATTTATGTTTCAAATTTCTTGTGTATGGATTTGCATATATATAGTTTTTAACTTGTTTTCCTATCTTCACTTTTTGAATTTCTCCAGGTAATTTCCAAGATGGAGATATGGAATATCTATCAAACTGAATGATTGTTTATTTCTTTGATTATGGTGTATCTTCTTCGCTCATATTTAGATCAATGAAATTATCCCTGAGTACACAGGTGATTATGTTCAGTGATGGCAACCGCTCATCTTGTAAATGTTACAACTTGTTAGGATGGTGTGCCTCCTATCAAACAACAACTTTTCTAGGCAGATTGCATTGGTTGGACAGGGGACATGTTGTATCACAACTAGGAACGGAAGTGATACATGCAAAGTGAACATTGCATGCGTCCAAGTTGTTTGCTTTTCATCTTGTTGCTCTAGTAACTGTCTATTTGGATAGTGACTTCTATTTAGATACTAAATGTTTTTTGTGTTGTATAGTATAGACAAATCATGTATTTAACTACATATGTTAGTTATACGTTGTGTCTATGAATAAAGTTCTTTGAATTTACAGCAATTGTTTTGTTTGATAGAGATAATAATGGCTATAAGATTGCTTCTCGAATGCTGTTATTAGGACCTTTTTAATTATCTACTTGACAGATTCATTCAGACACTGTATATGCTTCATTTCAAGCTTGTGAGCTAAACCTCACAGTTCTGTTAAGTGGAAAACATGAGATTCTATTTCTCCTGGTGGTAGCAGCAGTTATCTGCTGTTAATACGATTGAGCATATCAAAGCCATAGGGGCTTGATCGTTTTGATGACTGATGTCTATCTAGCCTACCTTATTAGTTAACTAATATCTGTTTACAGTTTTTAAGGGTTCCGTATTGTTTGCCTAAACATGATCAGAATAATTCTAGAACCGCATAACCCGAAAGACATATGACCAGATTATGGTCTTGGGCTCAAATTCTGCCTTTGCCGCTTATACATTTGGGAAAAAAAATCTAGTTAAAGAAAATGACCTGTAGTTTTGGATGGAATTCAGTCGCAGATTTGAATAGATTTTTTGTTGCTGAATCTTGGCTTTATTCGTAAGCTAAGAAAAAGTCTTTGAAATTAGATTAACTTGTCAATTTTTTAAATATGAAGAATAAAATTTCTAGTTATATATTTTTTGAATTGGATTTTTGTTCTCTGTGGAATTCCAACAGGCTGTATCACAACTAAGGAGCTTGGAACTGTGATGCGTTCTTTGGGTCAGAACCCTACTGAAGCAGAACTACAAGACATGATAAATGAGGTTGATGCTGATGGCAATGGTACAATCGACTTTCCCGAGTTTCTTAACTTGATGGCTCGCAAGATGAAGGATACAGATTCAGAGGAGGAGCTGAAGGAGGCCTTCAGAGTGTTCGACAAGGATCAGAATGGCTTCATCTCTGCTGCTGAACTTCGTCACGTCATGACCAACCTCGGCGAGAAGCTTACAGACGAGGAAGTTGATGAAATGATCCGTGAGGCCGATGTTGATGGTGATGGTCAAATCAACTATGAGGAGTTTGTGAAAGTGATGATGGCGAAGTGATTCCTCACAATAAGATAGAAGTTGGCGTGAGTTGTAAAATGTCATTTTATTTTCCAGCCGGTAGTTACATCCGATTAGCCTTAGTTGGAAAATTAGAACTGGGTGTCCTTCATCAGTAATTGTTTCATTAAACTTGACTTTGTTGCTTCATTGACTTTAAAGCGTTTGCGTTTGATTTCCGATGGAACTATTTTATATAAATATTTCTTGCGGTCTTGTTCTAATTTTTACGTCTTGGAACAGTTGCCCTTTGCTTGACCAAGCATACCTATGTGCTTCGCTTGCAATTTGTTTCCTTGTTTAGTCATTGGAAAACCCTTAATTAATTTTGTGCTTATGCTTATAGTTCAGGTAGTTTACTTGTTCCTTTTAGAACACTTATTTATCATCTCAGCTAACTGGTTGTACTACACTACAATCCATCATCTTGCTGCTTGGGTTGACACAGAGTTATCACTTGTTTTTCATGTGACATACTTGTACTGATTAAGTTATATTAGGAGAGAGAACTTTGCACTTGATAGGGGTGGTAATTACGATAAGACTCCCGTAACATCAGCTGACGCCCTGCGCCTCTGACAGACTGACAACACTTGGCTAGCATGGGCCAAAACGCCAACCGAGGCCCATTAACGACCGCTCAGGCTCGCCTCCTCACGACACGCCGATCGCAATGTCAGACACCATCAGATGTACGATCCTACTCCCTGCGGACATGCGCTCCAGGTAACGCTAAGCTCCTATATAAATACCCCCGTGTTCTAAGCAAAAAAGAAAGAGAAAAAGAGATCACGCCACTCCACATCACTAACTTGATCGTCGGAGAGGTCGGGTCGAGCTTCCGACCCGACCCGTGTGCAGGACCAGAGACGAGGCGCCTCACACTAGGCGCGCAGGCGAAGGGCACCCAGGAGACGTTTGGGCAATTCCCTGACATTCAGACTCGAACCAAGCCACGTCGGCCCGAGGCCGCGGCTTAAAGGTGTTTACACTAACAACACTGATTAAGATATATTGGAAGAGAGAACTTCCTGCTGTGGGGGAATTCTCTCGAACTCTCAAAAATTTTGGGGAGATCAACAATTAAGGAATAGAAAATATTTGATATTTTTTTGTTTGTCTGTCTATAGAGAAAATTAAGTTCATCACTAGATCTCTTATAGTAAAAAAAAACCCACTTAAAGTGTCTCTTTGTATCTCTATTTTACTAAGATCTTGAGATATGTATTTATAGTAATAACTCTTAATTTATTAAAAAATTTTAATGTAATTAGAACTTCTTCAACTTGTTTGAATTTAATTGGTACATAAAATATTTATCAATCCTAATAATCTTCATATTTATGAGGATTTTTTTACTTTTTACCTACGAAAAATCGGGAAGCACCTAAATATTTTTCTTTTGCCTCTCTTTTATTAAGACTTTATGCTATAATACACCGTGTATTTACCGCATAAAGTCCTAATTCACTAACTAGTTTTGAATTTAATTGACACATGTAAAATATTTATCAAACCTAATAATCTCCATATTGATGAGTATATATTTTTTTTTACTTTATTCCTTCGACCTTCTTTTTGAGAAAAATTCAGAAGCACCTAAATATTTTCCTTTTTCCTTTCTTTTACTAAGACTTTATATATTATAAATACACCATGTATTTATCACATAAAGTCCTAATTCACTTACTACTTTCTTTTTGAATTCCTAATTAATCCTAATCCTCTAAAAACTTAAATCTAAATAGTACTTCAAATAATTTGAATATAATCAGTATTCCTAAATAATTACCAACCTTTATAAAATAATATGATAACTTTATCATTTAAGACGATAAATATGGATTAAAGTTAGTTCCTAATAAGCTATCTTATTATCGAATGTTCTTCCTATTTATACATATTAGGAGAAAGAATTTTCCTCAACAAAGTAGTTTGATTTTTTCATACAATTGAAAAAATCTTATCTGCTATCATGCCCCTGCAAGATAATGTTCCTGTCGAAGATGTCGATCTTCACCAAAGGCCACACTTGGGGCGTTGTTATAATGCAAACTGGATCCAACGAGAGGCAAACTGGATCCAACGAGAGGCAAACTTGCTCCAAGCAAAATATAAGATGTATTTTGCATTGAAATTTATTGAATATTTTCTTATTTATACATGTTAAGATGAAAGATTTTTCTCAACAAAATAACGAGATTTGGCTATCATCCTCCATAAATGCTAGAAAATGAATCAAAACAGACAGTGATCGAAGCATATAAACTACCAGTCGTGAGGTACAAGTGGTAGCTGACACAAAGAGGCAGGCGATGAATTGGAAGTAGGTAGCAACTAACCACCCCCCATGCGCTATTAATACCACATGAGAAGAGAGGCGGGCCGCGACATCTTCCTCTTCTTCTTGTGCTTGCACAACTCAGGGGAGGAGGAAAGGAGAAAGATGGACGGGCAAGAGAAGAAGATGAAGGTTCTCTGCCTCCATGGCTTTCGAACCAGTGGGAGCTTCTTGCGCAAACAAATCAGCAAGTGGGATCCTTCCATCTTCCACCACTTCCACTTGGTATCTCTCTCTCTCTCTCTCTCGCTCTCTCTAGAAAGAAGTCTTGTTAACATCATCTTCTTCCACCTACAGGACTTTCCGGATGGTATATATCCAGCAGGAGGGAAGTCGGACATAGAAGGCATATTTCCACCACCATACTTTGAGTGGTTCCAATTCAACAAGGTAATGTCCTAAATTAGGGCTTCAGTCGATAACTCGATCTCGGTGCGACAACATCTCATGATAGCTTTGATATGTTGTTATATAGGAATTTACAGAATACAAGAATTTCGAGGAGTGTATCTCTTATCTGTGTGACTACATCACAAAGAATGGCCCTTTCCATGGATTGCTTGGCTTCTCTCAGGTTTCGTGCATCGTTGATAATGGAATGCTAGTTCTGCAAGCTAACTTGGTTTGATAGTAGAGTTAACGTATTGCAGAGTGATCCCTCTTCATAATAAATAATTATGGTTTTTTATTCATTGTTAAATTGGTGGTGAATCTGTCCTGTTCAGCATATGCCTCATTGTTAAATTGGTAATATTTTTGTCTGAATCATAGAAAATCCTTATTTTGTTCATTAGTTTTCTAAGCTGTTGGCAATTTCTGATATTCATTGATAATAAGAAGAATTTCTGATTGAAAACTTTGAAATGATTTTTTTTTTATTATTTGATTAGATAATAGTTAACTTTTTAAGAACTTATGAGTTGTTTCCAACTTTGAATAGTTACGCTTTGCATGTTCTTGAATGCTGCATTTACGGTTACCTCATCAATCATGACTTGATCGGAGTAGATGTAAAGCTATTTTTGAATAAATCCTGTGTTCTTAGATCATGCTCAGGTAGGTATAGGAAGGGATCTTGAGGTTTTGCTTTTTCATCTCCTTCTTCCAAATTAATAGTCTTTACGAGAAAGACTCTCTCATTCTTTCAACCCCAGCAAGTGGCTTGGCCATGGTGATCTGCAAGAGACTAATGATTTCTTTTCCTTTGTCACAGGGTGCAACACTATCAGCACTTTTGATAGGCTATCAAGCTCAGGTAAGCCACTGTCTTTAAAAAATAAAAGGAAAACATATCTGCTTTTTCCATCTTTATTAGTGTGTTCAAGCCATAACCATTCTGTAAAACACAATTCTATTTGAACTCAACAACTTATGGTGTAAAACTATGAACATTGTAAAAGCAAGCTAGAATGTGATTGGTTACCAAAGCTGACTTGATTTTAGATCTGAAACAAATACTTGCTCAATATATATCGCTAATAGAAGCCTTAACACAATACGTTTCCTAGTATTATCTTATGTTAATTGTCCAGATTAAATTAATGTTTACCTTTATCATGTCTGGACAGGGGAAGGTACTGAAGGACCACCCACCAATAAAATTTTTGGTGTCAATATCAGGTAGCAAGTTCAGAGACCCAAGCATATGTGACATTGCTTACAAGGACCCCATCAAGGTGAAATCTGTGCACTTTATTGGAGAGAAAGATTGGCTGAAACTGCCTTCTGAGGAGCTTGCTGCTGCCTTTGACAACCCTTTGATTCTGAGGCATCCCCAGGGCCACACTGTCCCTAGACTCGGTTGGTATTTATTACCTCTTTTTTTTTTCTTCCACTTGAACCAAATGATAACTTACAGCATGAATGGTACAAGAGTAAGATGATGGTATACAGGAGTTAGTTCTTGCATAAGGTATGAATTGCTTGAGATTCTGCTGCAAGTTTACTAAGATTGTGTTTGAGCTCATCTTCGATCAAAGATATCAATATTTTTTAGGAATTTTCTTTTATTAAAGTGCCCTCAACATCAGAGTAATATCAGACGATTTGTTAAATCAACAGGTACAACACAGCAAACACAAAAATTACAAGTTGATAATTTAGCAGTAATTCAGATGGATTGATGCAACACAAATGCTCCATGTGAAGATAGCATACATTTTTAACCTCCAAAGGTCTTGGATAAGAAATTAGATATAATATCTAGAAACAAAATTTACATAAAATGCTTTCTAGATCCACTTGAACAATAATAGCATATATATGAGTTGGTGAACAGGAGATATATGGTCCATATATTACATTCTGTGAAGCAATTTGTATTGTGTTGTTTCATATGATTTGTTTGTCTTGTATCAGATGCAGTTCTCTGTACCACAAAATTTTGATGTGAGAATTGATAATTGCTGACAGATGAGGCAGCTGCGAAACAGCTATCGGAATGGACTGCAAGCATTTCCAGAAGTGAATTCCCCTGCGGTACTTCTGTTCCGAAGAATGTTGAATGTGAAATGAACAACATCAAGCATGAAGCGATAGCTGATCCAAAATGCATCGAAGCTCCAAGTGCAGCTTAGGTTTCACCACATGAACTGGTAAGTAAAATAAAGAAAAGAACATGGTATGACATGCAACTGTTGTTTCTTTCTTTGAACAGCTACATGAACTTTGTAATCCTTCCACATGATGCATTTTGCTGAATCCAGAGTTCCCTTATCAGTCACAGAACACTACTCAATGATTGTTATATTCACGAATGTCGATTGCATATATTTCCCATCTGTTGTTGTTTCTTACAAACATTATCAGGATTTAATCTTTCTATCATTTCAGTCATTAGTGACAGATTCATTTAATTTATTGTCTCAGTTATTTAGGAATAATTATATGAATATTTTTATCATGAAGCCTTGTGCAAACAACCATCTCCTATTTAAGTTGACCATGTAGAAATCCTACTCCATTGGAATCTAATTCGACTCAACCAGAGTTGACCCATCCCCCTGGGCTCCACAATTGCTGCCTCCAATCCAAATCCACCCAGTGGATAGATATCATGCAACACAATAATAAACCGATAAAAGTTGCATCATTCTCACGTAATTAGAACGTCAGCCAGCATCCTTAAAGCACTCTGTGATCAGAACTGCAGTGGGGTGTTTAGATCAAGTCAACATCTTTGACTTGGTCCTGTTAGCTTTTAGACCCTATAGAACAGTCTTAGTGGCCCCCTGGTTTGGTGGTCAACAAATTTGACTCGGGGGTCCAATTTTGACCCCGATTCCAGTGCACAAGCTGGTGAAGAGCTTTCCACCTCCGTATGCATATGAAATGTGAGATCTTTGCCTTGCAATTCTTTATGCTCTTTGGTGGTCATATCATATGCATCATATGCTACATTCAAGATGCAATTGCATGGAAGATATCATGGAAGTTAGAACAGGAAACTGTGGCCTCGCTTCCACCATTAGTGTACGATCCCATCAACACAAGTAATACCACCACACAACACTTCCACCAAGTGTTTGATGAAATGAAAGGATGAGAACCCAACAGTAGCATCGACAAAGGAGCGTCCTTTACATGACGCCCCACGAGTCGAGGGACGAAAAGGCCGGGAGCAGCCCGTCGAAGTCAGAAGCCGGCCCGAACGAGCTGCCCTCGTCGCGGTCCAGCAAGAACGCCGAGGTGTCGAGCGTGGGCAGGTGGGTCTGCTGCAGGACCGCCGGCCGCACCGGCTCTGGCTTCACCAGCGGCTCGGCCAGATCCCCGTACAGCCGGACGCCGGTGACCCGCTGCACCATCTCCCGGAAGTGGGCCGGGTCAGCGTTGATGTAGGTGGTGGGCGCTCGCTTAGACGGGCGCGACCTCCGCTTCGAGATCCTCCCCGCCGGGGTGGGCGCCAGCGGGTTCCGCCCGCGGACGGCGGCGACGTCTCCGAGAGGGGAAGTGACTTGGTAACGAGGGAGAAGGACGGGGGTGCGGGAGGTGGAGGTGGTGGCGGCGACGGAGGAGAGGGTGTCGTGGGAAGCTGAGGAGGAGGTGTCGGAGAGGGAGATCTGGAGGGCTCGCGTGAGGGCCTCGTTGTCGCGGGCGAAGGCCTCGTTCATCCACGCCGACTCCGTGCGGTGCATCCACGGATCGAGCACCGAGCAATTCTCCGCCATGCTCATCGTCCGCTCGATCTCTCTCTCGTCGGGCTCTCGACGGGCTTCTCAAAGAACTCGGATAGTTTGGTATGGGGGGTTTAATAGGCGCGTCCGTCGGCCACGTGTCCTTCAATCGTCCGCGTCGGGTGACGGCGTTTCGTGTCGGAGCGGTAGGGTTCATAGTTTATCTCCACCTTTAAACCTATTTAGGAGGAGAATCGTGACGTTGACCGTCAGGCCTCGTCGTCCGTGGGACCCACGCGCAGGTTCGTGAGTGCCGTCGAAATTTTACGGTCCTGCCACCTTTCCGGAGACGGAACCGATAGCCCCTAAACTTACCATTATTTACGACGCTGACCGGCGCGTGTTCGGGAATCTGGTGAGAGGGTCGTCGGTGCAATTAATGGGCACGTGGATGGTTGTTACGGGGAAAAGAGGAATGGGGGAGATAAGAGCGCGTCAGCAGTGACGTGGGATCCGCTTGCGTCACGTCCAAGTGAGGATGCCGTCTCGTATGGCCATTCGGATGGACCAGAACCGTTTGATCTGATAGCTGACGGCTACGATCTGTTGCTCCTCCCTCTCGTCTTGGCTGCCCATGAAATTGGCACAACGAACCAGAACCGTTTGATCAGCTAGATGACGGCTACGATCTGCTGCCCGTGAAATTGGTACAATGGACCAAAGCCGTTTGATCAGCCAGCTGACGGCTACGATCTGTTTCTTCTCCCGCCCATTACAAGCCTTCTCGCCTAAGCATCTCAAGTATCCAAGTCAATCAAATCCTCCATCGAATCTCCCACCATCTTTGTTCTATACTTGTGATCTTGACCATTAGAGATCATCTTTCACGGACAAATACTAGTGGCAATGTCACACTAAGAGGATTAAAGAGCAAGTCACCTCCACATTGATTCTTCTTGTCCATGGATTATTTAGATGCATGACTATTGGTCCCAAAATCTCGAAGAACTTCGTAAGTGCTTGCGAAATAATAGATAAAATTATATTTTAAATATATATTGATATATGTATTATTTAATAAATTATAATTTAAAAGTTTATTGAATATTTTATGTAATTTTACCCTTTTAATATTTTTAATATTTATTAAAAAGTAAATATTTTTACTTTAAATAAATAAATAAAATGAATGTATGTATGCATTTATGTAATCTTATAAAAACTTTCATATGGCCTAAATATATAATAAATAAAAATATACAATCACATAAATAAATACAAAAGAATTTTTAAAAAGAAATAAATAAAATATCATCTTATAAAAAATATAAATCATGTTATTTTGTTGCTAAATTATTTTGATAATATTATAATTTTAGATAAAATCATAAGATATTTTTAAATTTTAAAAATTATATTAGCATCCCACAAATACTGAGATGCTAATATTCCCACAAGTTTTGAACTAAATATTACCTAAAGGTAATATTAGAATTTGAGTACCTCCAATATAATATTTGAACTAAATATAATTTTTAAAAAATATCAAGTATTGATTCATATTTCAAATATACATGGAGCCCTCCATTTCCAATGTGTTATCAAACCCACTCTGGGCATCTCTCTCCATTGCTTTGATGGCAGACAAAATTGCATTAATTTGTTGACATTTGGGTGTAGGAGTCAGTTGTTTTTCTTTCTGTTCTTGGGAGGCCTGTATTTTTAAGTGTTGGACTTGAACAGCTACAGTAAGGTCCAATGCATGGCCTATTACTATGAACTATGTCAGAGGGCTGGTGGCTGGGTAATCTTGGAGTTTAATATAGACTTGATCCTTTTGGAACCATACAAGTTTCTTTGGATCATTGATTAGTGATTATGCAATCAACATCTTTGGCATGATATTAGAGAGGTCATATATTTGATTCTATGTAGGTAATTAATTCCTACAAAATGATTCTCTCTTCAGGGATTTTTTTTTTTTTTTCAGGAAGTGTTTTTCCAAAGAACATCTCTTAAAATATCCCTATGATAATTATAAGACAACTAAAGCATTATCTAAAGTGTTTTTCCAAACCTTTTTTTCTTGTCCGTAACAAACCTTTCGTTCTAGTCAGGAGATTAGTTCAGACCTCGGGCAAGGTAGGTCAGGTTGTTCATTTCTTCTTCGTCGTGGCAACCTTGGGACAAAGGCGGATTGTAGTCGCTCTTGTCTCGATCTCTTGTGGGTTTCTTGCTCGAGACTATTACATCGATGACAATGTACTGGTTGGCTCTTTAAAGTACTTCGAGCATAATTGTTGTTGTCCTTTCTACCAATGACTAAAAAAAGTAGGAGGGTTTTAGTCCCATCATAAAGGACTGAATCACAAGCGAAGAGTGAACATTGCTTATGCCTCATATCTTGTTGATAAATCGATTGATGAAATTCGAGAGTGTCTCCTATTCTTCTTGTCTTAATTTAAGAAACATCATCGTCGTGAGCCTCGGGTATATATTTTTGAGAAAGTGGAGTTCGAACTCCTTTGCCAGTTAAGCGAAGAAGCTGATAGAAAGCGATTTCAGATGAGTGTACCACTCTCTTATTGAACCCCTCAAAGTGGTTAAGAAGATACGATTCATTAGGGCATCCGAGTCTACAAGGCAACGACATGCTCTCCTGAGTTGGTAGCACCATCAAAGATTTCCAACAATGAGAGGCAAAAATTAGTGGGGATTAGTTTCTCTTGGATATCTTGAATAAATGAAGATGGGCCCGATGTAGAGTTGATCTACCCGTCACCTCTGGATTAATGAAATTCGTGATATATTTCTTTTAGGCACCAATCCATTTGTTGTAGTTGGATCCTCAAAGAGTTATCCGTTAAGTTAATCGAATGGGTCTCAAATTCAAGTAGAGCGGAGCGATGGTGGGATAGCCTATTAAATTCTATGGTCAGGGAGCGAGATGCTCTCTTAGCTGATGGTTCGATAGGTCTTGGATGCTAATAAGTTGTTAGCAATTCGTCAGATGGAAAGACCCTAACAAATGTCGATGATGGTGGCTACCGAGCTGTCACCAATGGCTGAGGCGATAGCGTTACCTGCTAGTCTGACCAAGGTAGGAGTGGAGCGACTGCCTGCATTATGCCGACTAATACTTGTATTTGTTGGGTGAGATTCAATAATGCTTTGATAAGAACGAGTAGATAGTTAGATGACACTCCTGGGGATAAGAATCTAAGGTCGTTAAATGAATGTTAGTATTATAGTGGTACTTGCAATGAGGTGGGGAGCGGGTGGTTGTTGACCTATCTGAGTGAAAGTGTTGTTGAATCTCGGATTTTGACGATGAAGTCAATTGTAATTTGTTTGATCTAATCTATATGTTGAGAAAAGTATGTAGAATTAACTACGATAGCAGTAAGACATAAAGCAGATGTTGTACCAGAGTCAAGATCGAGATCACTTTGGGAGTTCGAGGGTTCGACGGAAGTCCGGATGTTCATCAAAAGTTCTGCGGGAACCAACCGAGAATACAAAGAGGGAGAAAGACTGATAATACAAATTTTAAAGTTTTTCTTGATAATACAAAAGACCGATAATCTTTTGTATTAATCTTTTATGATCTTTGATATCTTTCATGTGATGATCATTGATGTAAATTTTTGCATATCTCCTCCTCTTCTTTCTTGTTTGCAATAACAAAGGGGGAGAAAGTCATGCTAGCTTGCATATCGCAAAAGGAAGCAAAAATTACTAACTTGCATATTTTAAGGAAAGAAAACTTACTACTTTGCAAAGGAAAGCAAAAATTGCTAGCTTACACATTGCAAAAGAAAGTAAAATTACTTAGTTGCACATTTCAAAAAGGTAAAAACTTGTTATCTTGCACATCTAAGAGAAAAGTGATAGCTTACTCATCTTAAGAGAAGCAAAACTTGTTAGCTTTCATATTTCAAAGAGATGAAATAATGCCAACTCAATTACGGATTTATTGGGCTTGAGTTGGGGGTGTTTTGGGCTAAGTGAGGCTCATGCAGCAACCCTCAGTAGACCCAAGCAGTGGCACTGTCAGGGCTAACGATGGCACCGCCTAGGACTCGGCCTCCCAAGTTGTTTAGGTGATGGTACCGCCCAAACTACTAGTGGTACCACCTAGACATAATCTTCAAGACTATATTAGGTAATGGTATCGCCTAGTGTTAGTGTCAAACTGAGCGGTGATACCAACCAGTGTCAGATCAATAGGCGATGGTACCGCCTAATATTGGCGATGGTACCGTCAGTTCCTTGAAAACCCGGGATGATATAGGTTTGGCTTCAAATTTGAATCCATTTGAGACCTATAAAAACCTCACTCATCCTTGCTTAGTAAACACACAAACTGAGAACAAAATTAGGAAAAAATACTATTGTAATCTTGTGAGAATTCTCTTCCTCTAGCTCTAAGTGTTTATTTCAGTTTAAGAGAGGGGTGAGTGGGTTATAAAGGTTATCTCCTAAACTTATGAAAAGGAGAAAAGAATTATAAGAGGATAATTAATCTTCGCATATTAAAAGAAGACCGGTAATAGGTGTTAGTGACCTCAACGAAAGAGAAATGAAGAGTAAACGTAGGTTACGACGATCGAACCACTATAAAATTGGTATGTACTTTCTTTGTTTTCTGATTATTTATCACTCTTATTTTAAGTCAAGTATACTTTTAATATCTTTTTAGATATGCTTTTATCAAGTCGAAAGTTTTCAATCAACTTAATTTTTATGTAAGTACTAATTCATCACAGTTTTCGATACTTTTAGCGTATGCAAGTCTAAACAACCCAACTTGATAGTGAAAAGTACCTATAAATAGGTGTGATTTCTAGATATATAAATCATCGGTGCTTTCAAACAATAACTTCTTGACGAGTGTCTTGATCATCTAAGATGGTGTTGATGTTCTCAGGATGATTTTTAAATTCTTTTGTTTCTTTCATTTTTGTGTCCAAAAATATGTCCAAAGGCAAATAAAGACACATGAAAAGTGTAATTTTTTTCTTTAACAATAGAAATGAGAAAATAAAAAAATATCCACCGGTTATTCATGCGAATGAAAAAATAAATTATCTTTGAATATATATATTTAAGTTGGTTAATATAATACTACATAAATGATCGATCTTAGTTTTAAGTCCGTCTGTCATTTGATGTAATATTTTTTATTTTTTAAAATAAATAAATATTAAATATAAAATGTGACAAATTCGATTACTAATGCGAGAGCGAGTATTCATGCATGCTTCCCATGCTTTTAACGGAGTCGCAAAAGATCCATGGTGGAACCCACTGTTTCTGTTTCAAAGCAGGAGTCGGGTAACGGATCGGGTAATTCGCCAACGGATAGGCGAATCATTATTTATTTCGCTATTGGGACGCGCCGCTCCCGGTCTCCCGTTGGTTTCCTTTCCCTGTTCCTTTCAACGAGACCGGAGCAGCGACACACCCACTTCTTAAACTCGTTCCCCGAGATCCCTCCCTCGACAAAGGTAGAGGACGGGAGGAAGCGATTCCGAGCCAAACTCCGAACCCCGTCCGCCTCTCTCTTTTGGTTTTCGCGCTCGATCTGCGAGTCCTGTGCGCGTGACGACGCCCGCGGATCGCCAAGGCTTCTCCCGGTAGGTGACTTCTCTACCTGCTTCCCCTCTTCGTTCCATTGTTCGATCTGTCCACGACTCTCTTCGTGTTCTTCTCTCTCTCTTTTCCAGACTTCGATCCTGGAGATCTGTCTTCATGTCGATTGCTTTCCGTTCCTCTTTCGTTGTGCTAGGTGTTTGCTCTTAGATTCTTAGGCGTGCCTTTTATTTGGTTTCGAGTACTAGTTGTTTGGTTTGTTGACCTATTGTTTCTTTCTTTTGTTGTTTTATTTGATCTTTATGGCAGATTAGGGTTTGAATCGGCGTCCTTCTTCGGTGCAGTTATTATATATCTTGGATATTATGTTTTTAGTGCTGTTTTCTTTTGTTTTTGGGGGCTTAAATATTCTGTTTGATCTTCTCCGGTTCTGATTGCTCGCTGCTTTGTGCGTCTAAGCGTTAGGCTGTTCTTTCTTTGGGGTTATTGAACGAGCACATCGAGCACCGAAGCGGAGCCATGTCTGGTTCCACCGCTGCAGCAGTTGCGGCGACACCAGTGACCAGCAACGGTGCTTCGCTGACTTTGGATGCGACGGGGAAACCAGATGCGAGGAGGAGAACGATGGTGATCGTGGAGAAGACATTGAATGCTGATGGGCTTTCTGCTGGAGGAACTAATGGGGTCGCTAATGGGAAGGATTTAAGCCACACGATAAGGGGAGAATCCGTGATCGAGAGACCAAAAGACTATTCAAAGTTGAAGAAACGGCTGATAGCTTCGTCCACTGTATCCCCACGGCGGAAGAAAGCTGTTCCAAAACCTGAGAAACCCAAATGGCAAACTGTCCTTAGTGTGTTAACCAAGAATTGCCTGCTTCTTGCAGCTCTTTTATGGTTGGGGCAGACTGTTTGGAGATGGAGTTACAGCATAGGCGACAATGCAAACTCTCCATTTGCTTCATTGGATTATGAAAGCAGAATTTATGATGTTGAGGCATCTATAAAGGAGACTGCCAAGATGCTTCAGGTCCAATTAGATGTAGTAGATAAGAAAATAGGTAGTGAGATTGGCATTGTGACTAGGGAATTGCTGAAGCAAGCTGAAGAAAAAGGAGCGTTGTTTGAGGAGGAGTTGAAGAAGTTGGAAGCTAAAACTGATTCTTTGGACAAGTCTTTGGGTGAATTGAAGGACAAGGGTCTCCTCTCAAGGGAAGAATTTGAAAAACTTTTGAACGGTTTAGATGATAGCAATATAAACCTGGATTTGGATCAAATTAGGGCTTTTGCTAGGGATATTGTTCAGAAAGAGATAGAAAAGCATGCTGCTGATGGTCTTGGAAGGGTTGATTATGCTTTAGCTTCTGGTGGGGCAAAGGTGGTTAGACATTCAGAGCCATATGGTTTTGGAAAAGGTAACACTTGGTTTGCTAGAGGTCATAATGGAGTTCATGCTAATGCACATAAGATGCTGGAGCCGAGCTTTGGAGAACCTGGCCAGTGCTTTCCTTTGCAAGGAAGTAGTGGATTTGTTGAGCTTAGGCTACGAACAGGGATCATACCAGAGGCTGTCACTCTGGAGCATGTGGCTAAGGTGAGGTTTTTCCTTTTTCCTACTGCTCATTTCTACTTTTCACATAAGCTAAGGCTGTTTTTTTATATTGCCATAACATTTGACCTTATACTTTGCTTCTCTGACCATCTTTGTCTGTGTGTTTAATCTACACTCTCCCTATGTAGATCAACATTATAAGATGGATTTTGGTGGAACAAAGTAATATCAATTTGCCTATAACTAATAATTCTTGGGCCTGTATGAGGGTACAACACTTGCATGCAATGATGACTCAGTGTCACAATACGAGTTGCTTCAACTCTTTCTTCATTTACAGTCATGTTGGTTTTCATACTGCAATGACACCAATTGAACTTTTATTATGCTGTTTTAATTCTTGCTTCTTACCTTTTTGCTTGGAGGCTTGGGCACTACATGAGATCATTTGATGAGAGTAGGCAGCCATCTTATGTTGCTTATTACCTCTTTTTCATTTTGTAAACTGTTGGTGGCTAAACTGAGACGGAAAGCAAATAAGTGGTACATTGGAAACCTGTTAGCTCTTTGTGAAGGTGAAACATCTGCAGTACCTTAAAGTAATTTAGTTTAGATGTCGAAAATTGCAATATCCAAATTCATCTAACTTTAGTTCCTGTGTCAGCTCCCTGTTGCTCAGAAGTGTTAATTTCTGAAATTCCATTTTGTTAAAATTCAAGATCTACCTTTTGTTTTATCGAAATTAAGATTTTAGTTTTTCAAAGTGGCCACCTTTGCAACTGCATATAAGCATATGCAGTTTATATGACTGCATGGCATAATGCCTATGCAGCTTGAATATGCTGCATAACTGCATATGTGGTGTATGCAGTTGCTTTGGCTGTAGATGTCTATGTGGCTGCTTATGTAGTCTGTATAAGTATCGAAATGTGATGGCATATTGTTTTATATTCTCTACCAACTGCCTTTAGCCTTACTATATTGTTTTATTCTTTTAGATTGTGGTTGGTTGTAATGGTGATGCACTTTTTTCATAATTCTTTTAACTTCACTTTTATGTCCACTTAAATAATATAAATCTCATTGTATATATTTGTGAGTTAGTCATATCATATATTGTTTTCTTTTTTCGTCTTTGTGCTTGATTATATTGAGTATCTTAATATGAATAAGCACCCACAAAAACATTGCATGCTGCACAAGTTTCCATAGAGTAACTTGAGTTGGCATCCAATTTTATTATATAATTTTAATTGAGTGGTGAATGACAGTTGCACTATCTTCACTATTGCTGTTGGAACTAGAAACTCGGGTCAAAGGGAACAGCTAAAAAACGTACACTGTTGACTTTGAGGTTGCTGAATTTTCTAGGAAAAGATACATTAAAAGGACAATATGGAACAAAAATAAGGGAGAGTGTAATATAGGAGGAAATGGAACAGAATAAGGTGAGAGAACACATATGTACCACCTTTGTTCTGCATTTTCCATTAGAATGCTATTTACATATAACAAAGAAATTACTATAATCTTTTAAAGTACTCTCTACTTGCTCATAATGGCCCTAGCCATGATACGAATGTAAATGTATATTATAATAAACCAGTGATTTCAAAAGGCACTCGAGCGCTTGCCTAGGTGCTCGGGCGAGGCGAGGCCCGAGTGCCTCGTTTAATGTCCAGGCGGCGCGCTTCAAAGAGGCGCCGCTTGGGCGCTCGCTCGATCCCAGGCACCGGGTGCTTCGAGCGAGCGACCGGTTTAAACCAGGCAATCGAACCAGCTTTTTAGGTCTAGTTCGGTTGTATTTGCGTTAGTTGGTTCGATTGAACCAACTAACGCACCAATATCAGCCTCCTCCTCGTGACTTCCCCCAACCCCAACCTTACTTGCGATTCTACCGCTGACATTTCCTCTCTACTGTCGCTGTCGCTATCGTTGCCTCTCTCCGTTGCCGCTGCCGCTGCCGCTGCTGTCGCTACTCTCCGCTGTCGTTGCTGCTGCTCTCCGCTGCCTCTCTCCGCTACTGCTGCCGCTGCTCTCCGCTGCCATTGCCGCTGCGCTCTGCTGCCATTGCCGCTGCCTCTCTCCACTACTGGTGCTGCTGCCATTGCTTTTCGCTGTTGCTGCTCTCAAACAGTAGCCTCCCATTCGCGACTCAGTTCTCACTATAACTCAGCTTCTCACCTCGGTCTCCTCCTCACACTATACTCCTCTCTACAGCTGTTAACAGTAGATAATATTTTAAATATTAAAATATTTTTTTTATATTTTAATATTTTAGAGCTCCTCACTTCGCTCAAGCAAGTACCTAGGCCCTCGGGCGTTTTGGGACCTTGGTACTTTTTGGTGCCTAACGCTTTTTAAATCTTTGTAATAAATTAATACTTCACATAGCATGGAATTGACAAACTTTTCTAATGAGGCATGACTAGGAATTTTAGTTTGACAAAAGAAAATTTCTACACTTCTTAGACTCTTCTGCAATTAGGTAGAAGAAGATGAGAGTCAATTGAAGATCTTAAAAGAATTATGACCTTGTGATCCATATGATGTAACCTCAATCAATCCAGTCCTAGTAATCTCAAACTTTAATGTAAAATCTCATCTTGCATGAATTTGCTTTTGCTGCATTTAGATTTGTCTCTATAACTATAGATGTTGAAGTTTTGGTTGTGATGTAAATCATCTTCTAGATTTTGTAGTTGAAGTGGACATAATTGAAACCTTTGTCTCGAACTGCTTGATCATAAGTAAACATTAACATATATAGTTCACATGCATAGGAACCATGTCAAGTGTGATCCCTTGTCTATATTCCTTCTCTAAAATTGCATTAGACAAAGTTGCTTCATGATAACCTTATCATTATCCCTTGTCTATATTCCTTATCTCATACTGACCTAATCAATTTTTTCTTCTTTATTTTTGTGTGTGGTATGACTCGAAGTTTGATATGGGTGGTGACTAAAAATTTGGACCTGTTACTTTAGCACTCATGTATACCATGAGCAACAGAAACTTTAAACATAATAAATTGACTTTTATGTTAACTTTAGTGAAAAGCATCACATCATCAGCAAAGCAGCAAATTGGAAATATTCTGTCAAGAAGAGGAGATTGTGGGATGATGCCACTTTGTATTATTATTGTCAAACTTCTACTGAATATGTATGGACAAGGGAAGAGGGGATTTCCTTGATACTGAACCCTTCTTGGAGCAAAAGAGTATAGTTTAGAAGTGAGCACATTCAGTTTTTCAACTAGCTTTCCTGGAAAAACTCTGACGGTAAAGCATTTCACATAAGCTTAACAGTTATATTGTTGACAGATTCCAACTTGTTCTACAAAAATGGGTGGGAATTTGTAGGGACTCAGAAATTTGTACACCTCTACAAAGGTAGACGATGGTAATGAAGGTTGAATTGACTGAAACCACCTAAAACGCTGAATTGTTGTAGGTTTTGATACTTATGAATCCGTATAACTTTTCATTGACCACTAAACAAAACAATTCCTCAACATATGTATGGACATACTTTCTTCTAAGAACTTCAGGACCTTATCAGACACTATTCACTCGAAATGAGATCCTCATTTAGTTAAAACAGCTTGAAGATCAAATCTAGAAAATTGAGTCAAAATATGCTCTCTTTTAGTCAATTGACTCAGTTGAGGAAGAATCTGAAAGTTTGTATTGCTTTTTAAGCTTTTTCTCAGAGTGTATGTTTAGCTGTTTTAGTTATTCTGAAACTTGACTACAATAGCAGTTATGCTGAGTGGATGAGGAATTTTGAAGTGGGGGGCCTGAGAAATGAAGCAAACATGGAGAATGGAAACAAAGGTCATGGAGAGGGGTAGATGGTCAGTAATGGAACCAGGGTTCTAGGGATTATTAGCTTAGAATCAGTTTGACCTTCTTCTATAGTGCTATAGGGCATAATTGTAGGGATATATAAGCTGCTAGATAGAGTGGGTAGAGTATTGTCCTTGTATTTTGATGAAAGAAGTTGCCGCTTGGTATAATGTTAGTCTGCTAGGTTTTTTAATCAACTTTTAGGGAAAATGTTGTGAACTCTTACTACTAATTGTACTTGAGCTGAAATATAAGCTTGCAAATAATATTATAGAGAGCCAATGACATAAGCTTACTACTAATTGTTCCCAGAAAAAAAAATGTTTCCAGAAGATGCAACACCTGGTGATATTATTTTTGCCCAGTGAACTTTATCATCTTCTTAGCTTTTTGTTTTCTCTATATATCTTTTGGAGTGCATCTCTGAATAAGGAATACTGATTTTACACCACAAAGTTATCCTGATACCGTCTATCTGAATTTGTCACATGCAGAGTGTGGCTTACGACAGGTCGAGTGCCCCCAAAGATTGCCGGGTGTCCGCGTGGTTTGAGTCACCTGATGAAGACCCATCTAGCAACATCAAGAAGATTGTCATGTTAACTGAGTTTTCCTATGACCTCGAGAAGAGCAATGCTCAAACCTTCGATGTCATGGTAGGGGATGCTGGTGTCGTCATCAACACGGTTCGTCTTGACTTCACCTCCAACCATGGGAGCTCGGCTCTGACGTGCATCTACCGTTTCAGGGTGCATGGGCATGAGCCTAGCTCACCAGCAGCCATGGGTCTGCAGGGCTGAGAGAGTGTGCACTCTCCTATGCTCCTTCTTCCTTCCCTCGCCGCCTGTTGTACCATTAGTTTATTTAGCCCAACATCAAGGACTGTAGATTTTCTAAATATTTGCCCTCGTCTATGTTCTTCCAAGCAGCAGCAGTCACCCTGAGATGCTGACATCGCTTTTGTGGAATATGCAAGAGGGGAACTTCTCTTGATGTTTTCTGCTTTTGTAATTATTCAATTGCACAAACTGTAACATCAGTACTTGTTAGGTCGATATTTAATTTTGCATCAAAGTCTTATGTCCTATTGTTCGATCTCTAGTTGATATATTTTTTTGAGAAAGAAACTGATATTACCTGCGAATTAACACCAAAGTGTTAGCAGGCAGCTTTTGTTGATGGATTGATATCATAAATCTTCACACACACACACATATGATTTTCTTAGAAAATATTTATATTTTGAGTATTTCTCAACCGGTACCTCATGTTTTGTTTTTTCAAATTATATCTTTAATTTAAAAAATATCCAAAATATCCTTCAAAACATTTTTATCATTATTTTCACTCATTATTTGTATTAATTTTAAATTATTATAATATTTTAATAGCATTTATAATATTTTTATTAAGGCATTAAAAATACTGTAAGTGACATCATATTAAGTCTTTTTGTTGTCATTTGCTTGTAGATCATTATGATATTATATTTGTAGGTTTGTAATTGGTTCAATTAAGGTTAGGAGTTCATCTTGATTATTTATATTATTTTTAAATAGATTTAATTGTGGGGGCCAACAAATCATTATTTTTATTTCTATTTAGGTGATGTTGTTCTTAAACTATTACAAATACTTATTTGAGTTATGATATATCAATCAAATGGTCTTCAGTGTATTTTGATTTCATTTGGTTTGTTTTTAATTAGATTTTATAATACTTTAGGTTTTACAGTATTTTTGTTATAACATATTAAAATACTATAACAGGTGAAAAATTTATTTTGGGTAGTTTGAGTTTTTTTTTAAATTAGGAATACTGTTTGGAAAAAACTAAAAGAAGAGTACTGTTTGAGAAATACATAAAATGTGGATAATTTCT